CTGGCATCAGGAACCTTAAATACATTTTAAATATATGAGTAGGCCATGGCAGCATGTTGTTTTACCAATTATTTCTGCTTCTTTGGTCTCAAAAGTTATTTTGGATATGCTATAGTTGTGATGTGATCTGATTGTGTCATCACAGGTAAATAGTATATTTTATTATTCCATGTTAAGTTCAAGAGGTACTAATATATTTGTTATACAGGTAGTAATAGTGGTATATAAGTCACCAAATACTTGAAACACTCTTTAAGTGTACTGAAATACCCTGACATATGCATAATAAAATAAAAAAACAGCTATTTCAGAATTACTTCTTTTGTACAACCTGCATAGTTTATGATTATTTGTAGAACAAATTAGACAGCACTTTAGTAATTAGTTGTCCTTAAAAGAGATATCAATCTAGATTCTGTTTCATTCTGCTGGAGAACACAAAAACAAATGAGATAACGAACCTTTTACATCAACTATTCATATACTGTATACACATTTGTTTTGGGAGTGTTTCTACTGATTCAAAGTGCTAGTTTTTCACAAATTCTCTTTCAAAATATGTCAGCCATTTGACCATTTCCTTAGAAATAATAGACGTGTGTCAGCAATTGAAATGAGGTTTCTCTTGATTTTCCTTCATGGTTTTAAAGATCTAATAGATATCATTGGCTATATTTCCTAATAGCCAGCATATTAACCAGAGATAAAGATTTCTGAATTAGGTCTCAGAGATTTTGTCCAATCAGTTCGAAAATGCACTTGCATCAAGGTAGGATGTCGATTCATTTTCAAAGAAATCTTCAAGCCTCCATTGCAATGTTTCAAAAGTTGGTCGGTTCTCTGGCTTGACATTCCAACATTCTAACATGATGTTGTAAAGTTCCAGGGGACAATTTAATGGTCTAGGAATCCTGTACCCTTGTTCAAGTTTTTCCAGTGCCTGCCTTCCATTCCAACCTACAAAAAAGGTTAAGAAAAAATAAATAAATCTAAGCCTTGTAATTTAAGAATTTACATAAGGGAAGCATTGCCATCAGTGTTCTCTGTGGGATTCTTTTAACTACATGATGACCTTGTAAAGAGGTTAAAGTAAAGAGACCTTGATCAGCAATTAAAAAACATGAAATTGCTCAGCTGGTGAAATGGCAGGTAAACCATAGTTGTAATTGCTCTCTGCATGCTGAGTTTCTTATTAAATAACTTCAAATGAAACCAAAATTTACAGCAAAGTATTTGAATCACTTTGTTTTATTTTAATAATAGCTAGCTAATTTCAATTAAACGAAAATGTGGTCTTGTCACTGTTCGTTTCCAGCATTTTATGAGCAACTGGTAATTTCCATTCATGCAAAGGAAGGAATGTTAATGTTTGAGCATTACTCCTCTCAAACAATAAACTATATGATATTTCTCATTCTATTACAATTACTCACCCAAAGTGTTTCTCTACCTAACCAAAGTGTTTAACAGTTGTAACAGTAGAGAAAATACTGACTTTACTTACTGTAGCTGGCACACATGTATAAAAAAAAAACCACAACAAATATAAAGCATATAAACACAATGTAGATATTCAATAAATCATTAGCCTACAAAGGTATATTGTCTGTGCATTATTTTTGTTAATTGCTTTATCTATATTTTAAGTTTTAAAATTTACAGTGTTTAAACTCAATCACTAAAGTCTTTAATCACTTTTACTAAAGTGGTAGTAAATTTGTTTCTGGTACATTTACCTATTGGTGAGCTTATAAAAAAGCTTACCTGTAGGTATAATTAATATCTCCTACACATGTACCGTTCAGGAGATATTCCACAGAGCAGCAGCCAGAGACATACCAGTGCATATGCTCTGAAGGAATGGCACACTGTCCTTCCTTCAGAGGTCTGTGCCATAAACCGTGACTCCCATGTGCATGCATGGGAGTGACGTCATCAAAGCTCAGCCAGATAGTCAGAGCCCGCGAATGCGGAAGGAAGATGGAAGGTAAAGATGAAAGCCCTGTCAGTGGCAACATCACACCGCTGGAGGGCTGCAATTTAAGGTAGGTCTCTCATAATGTGCTAGTATCCAATGCATACTCACACAGTATGACATTGCCCTGCAGGGTGAAACTTTCTTTTTTAAAACAAAGGGTTTTTGTTTTTTTGTTTTTTAAAACAAAGTTTACTACCACTTTAAAACAATACTTTGTAATCATGTCATAAATGTGGCTGTTCATGGACGTCCTGTTTATTCATGAAACCACTATGCTTCTGTTTTCTGTGCCGTCACCCTGTAACACAAGATTCTGGAGGAGAATTGCCATGTGGGCCAAAAAAATGCAGTGCAGCCATTGCATGTATTTAGACAGAGGTGGCTCTAAAGATCCAAGAAATCAGCAGCATTAAGATGCTAAGAAGTATAAATACACATATTTAATTAAAGTAAAAAATTAAGCAATTGTGCTGTTGCAAAACAAATGGCAGGACCTCCCTGAAGACTACAGCACATTTTTGTAAATCAGCCTGATTCAGCACCCAATCCACACTGTGACTGGACAGTGGGGATGAAGAAGTAAAGCTGGATGCTGAGGAAGCCATGCCACTGCTCTTCCCTCCTATGAGCATTTTTCCTGTATACAGTAGAGCATGACTATCCTCTATCTCTCCCAAACTTAATGTTGCCAAGAAGGTTCATTTAATAAGATAGTTGTAGGTACTTCTGCAAGTTGCATATAAATATATATACACTGCTCAAAAAAATTAAAGGAAACATCAGATCTCAATGGGGAAAAATATCATGCTGGACATCTATGCTGATATGGACTTGGTAATGTGTTAGGAACGTAAGGATGCTCCATTGTTTGATGGAAATGAAAATTATCAACCTACAGATGACTGAATTCAAAGACATTCCAAAAATCAAAGTGAAAAAATGATGCAGCAGGCTAGTCCATTTTGCTGAAATTTCATTGCAGCAACTCAGAATGGTACTCAGTAGTTTCTATGGCCCCCACGTGCTTGTATGCAGCTTGACAATGTTGGGGCATGCTCCTAATGAGACAATGGACGATGTCCTGGGGTATTTCCTCCCAGATCTGGACCGGGGCATCACTGAGCTCCTTGACAGTCTGAGGTGCAACCTGGTGGTGTCGGATGGACCAAAACATGATATCCCAGAGGTGTTTTATTGGATTTAGGTCAGGCAAGCATGGGAGCCATTCAATGGTATCAATTCCTTCATCCTCCAGGAACTGCCTGAATACTTTCACCACATGAAGACGTGCACTAGGAGGAACCCAGGACCCACTGCACTGGGGTAGGGTCTGACAATGGGTCCAAGGATTTCAGTGGCAGTCAGGGTGCCATTGTCTAGCCTGTAGAGGTCTGTGCGTCCCTCCATGGATATGCCTCCACAGACCATCATTTTCCCACCACCAAAACAGTCATGCTGAACGATGTTACAGGCAGCATAACATTCTCCACGACTTCTCCAGACCCTTTCATGTCTGTCACATGTGCTCAGGGTGAGCCTGCTCTCATCTGTGAAAAGCACAGTGTGCCAGTGGTGAACCTGCCAATTCTGGTGTTCAATGGCAAATGCCAATCGAGCTCTATGGTGCCAGACAGTGAGCACAGGGCCCACTAGAGGATGTCGGGCCCTCAGGCCACCCTCATGATGTCTGTTTCTGATTGTTTGGTCTGAGACCTTTACACCAGTGGCCTGCTGGAGGGCATTTTGTAGGGCTCTGGCAGTGCTCATCCGGTTCCTCCTTGCAGAAATGAGCAGATATTGGTCCTGCTGATGGGTTAACAAGATAAGATAAAATCACCTGCTTGAAGTTCAAATATATGGCCAACCTAAAATTTAGTTGGATAGAGTGGAGAAGGATGGGGGAGGATTAGAACCTTGTCAGGTTTTCACTATTATCTAGGGCTCTGTACATACCCATGTGAGAGTTGATAAGAGTTAGAAAGAAGTGAGAAAAGGAGAAAGAAGGGGGGCTCAGGAAAGGCACTTCTACTAAATAGACATTTTATACAAATTGTTGTACAAATAATAGGGTCTAGGGTTTTTTTTTAAATTTGATCTGTGAATTACAGAAAACAAAATTGCATGCACCTATTGACAAGTGAAATCACATTACCTACCGGGGTAAGGCATCTTTCCATATGTCACTATTTCAAAAGAAGAATACCAAATGACCAGACATCAGATTTGACTGAGAATTTGCTGTGGGCGGATTGCTTCTGGTGCTGTCCATTTTAGAGGAAGCTTCATATCATTGTTGGACACATAAACATCATCATCCTGAAATAAATGATGAAAAAAAAGGTGTGAAATAAAAATATATATACCAAATATTAAATGACTGAAAGTATTTTACTGCATTAGTATTAAAATTATTTAAAAAACTTTTTAATAATAGCAGGGTGTTAGTTTTAAATTGTCCAGTTTTAACTTTTTCTTGCTTTTCTTGTGTTTGCTTTCTATGTATTCTAGGAATTCCCTCCCCCTCTTGTCCATGTAAGAGGTGTTAGATAGAATAAAGTTTGGAAATTTCCTGGAGAGAGTTTCAGCAAAACTTGACAGGGATTTTAATTCTAGCATTTTCTATCCAAAACAAAGGTTGTTTTGGCTGGAGCTGGATTTTAAATTGTTTTTTTCTATTAATAGAAAAGGCCTACTTGCAAATTATTCACATCAATTGACACCTTATTGACAGCTATGACCATATATTTTGGCATAAGCCATATAATTTAGATTTTACAGAAAGAGAATAAGTGTTTTTAAGAAATCCACAAAAGTTGATATGAAGCATGTAAGATCACAATATTGTTTATAAATTAAAAAATAGTAAAAAATCGGCAGATAGCCAATGTGATGTTGTGGTTAACATTGCAGGTGCTACTGTATTTTTTGCCAAAATTCACATCTAATGAAATACTAATCTCATGGTTAACTAGAGGAAATATGGTGTTTTATCCATCGTAATAGAAAGTTTGAGTATAACTGCTCATGTACAAGGGTGTACACAAATTATTGTTAGTTGTAAAATGAATGGTTGTACCTCAAAAACTCTTGCAAGTCCAAATCTGCTACTTTGTAAAACACTGTTTTCTCCAACAAGTACATTCCTGGCAGCTAAATCTCTGTGGATGAAGTTTTGTGTTTCTAGATATGCCATTCCTGAAGCTACTTGAGCAGCCATATCCACCTGTTGAGGTATCTTAATCATTGAGACATTTATCATCTGAAAAAAACAAAACATTGCATAATTATTGTACCTTATTAAAGTATTACAAAAACAGAACAAAAACTGTGTCAAACATCTTAGAAGACCTAGTGTCACAGAATTCTCACAGAAGTTCTTTATTAAAAAGGCTTGGTTTTTAATTTTGTCCCTCTCTTTTAAGGATAAGTGAGAGCAAAGAGTGTCTACAATTTTCAATTTACATAAACCTATACCCGAGTTACCCATTTAGCTAATGAATATTTCATGAGATGGAAAAAAGTTCATTGCAGCGCCCAACTTCAGGCAATTCAGAAAAAAAAAGCTGGATTTTTTTCCCTATAAGAGTTTTACTGCTCTGTGTCCCAACTGGCGAGATTTCTGTGAAACAATGGGTAATGTCTCAATTTTTAATATAGTCAGGAACAAAAATACTTTCATTTAGTAGAATGGGGGGAGGTTTGGAGCCAGGAAGTGAGTGATTTGAAATGTCTGCACTAAAAATACATTCCTGACTCTACTTCTGTCCAAAATTCCAAGCTGAAAACTATAATTTTATAGCTGAACTCCAGAGAACCAGCCACAGTAAGTATACAGTTTTTATATGAATACATGCTAGCAATAGCAGTCAAATAATGTGTGTATTTCTGTCTAACCAGTCTAGAAGAATATACTGCCACTGCTAGACATTCTGCATGCAGACTGGTGATCTGAATTTTCTCTGCTACAGTTAAAGTGAAAATTTACCCATAACAACTTGATAAAAAAAATAATGTTGTTTAGTAAGGAAATATACATTCTACATTAATAATTATGCCACCAAAATTAGTGTGTTTGCTGTAAACTGACTCCTGCATTGTTCCTGTTTCCACTTACTGGAGGCTGCCATTTTGCTGAAGCCCAGAGATCCTGGGCAGCAGTAAATCTTTTTACTGTCAGCAGATCTGTCTCTAGTTGGCTCTGATCTTTGTCACTGGTGTCAACAAATAGAGAGAAACTGAGCATGTGCAGGGTGGAGACAGTGTATTACTGGAGTTTTAAACAGTATAGGCACTTATTTTTAATGCTTTTCATATCTATAATAAACTGCAAAAGGGGCCAACATGAAGCGATCTAGCAGAACTTAATTTTCCAACTAAAGCTTCTACTTTAAGCAAGCTAGGTCAAATCTTTCCTCTAAAATTAGGGACTGGACAGTGAAGGAGCAACAGCTCACTTCACTGTAAACACTGCTTTCTCCCTCTGTCAGCAAGTTCATTGCCTTCATAAGTGCACTGCAGGACACGCAATTGGCTCCAAGTGCTGCACCTTTCTTTCCCAGCTGAGGGTAGATGGGATTACTAAAGGCTGATACTAAGATAAAAACAAACAGGTACTTACACTAGCTGGAACCTAGTTTACCAGTAGAGATGAGCGAATCGAACATGACGAAGTGGAATTCGTTCCGAAGATTTGGAAAAATTCTATTCGCGACGAATCCAAAGATTAGCAAACTTCGGATGCACGAATCGAATTTTCCATAAAATGGCGGCGACATGTGTGGCGACAGGAGAAAATGGACAGAGAAGATGGGGGGGCGCTCCGGGATCTCTGGGAAGGACGCACAGACAAGGCGCGCGCTGACCCATAATGCATTTATGAGTCAATGAATCATGACATGTGATCGCATTAGCCAATCAGCAGCCAGCCAGCCAGCACTGTGTAATGGGTGGAGCTATTAAATCGCGGCCATCTTTAGAATTCTCCATTTAGCCTCCGGTCATTCATGAGAGACAGACCTCTGTGTATTGAGGGACAGAGTTAGGGGCCACAGAGACCCTTTAGGCCACAGAATTCGTTACTCAGGGACACAGAATTGTTACTCAGGGACACAGAATCGTTACTCAGGGACACAGAAATCGTTTACTCAGGGACACAGAATCGTTACTTAGGGCCAACAGCTATCAAAGAATCGAAAATTTAAAGTGACATACACCATTTTTTTTTTTTTGGTGGCTGTCGTGCACAGTTGGTGCTGCAGTTTGCCGATTGTGCAAAATAAACTGACTTTTGCTTCAATCAACCACGTATTGTACGTTCTACGAGAGTTAAAATCCAATTCTACAACGCGGATGGCAACCCGGTTAATATTTTTGTTGGTTCGTGATTAGTGGCATTCCAGTGACAGACAGAACGTACAGTGTTTTCGCAGCCAACGGCAAGTCTAGGCAATTGACCAAAAGAAAAAAAATAAAAAAAAAAAAATAAAAAGACGATTTGTGTATCAAATAAACTGACTTTCTGACTTCACAACACTATTGTACGTTCATAAGAGTTAAATCAATTTACACGACGGCCGGCGTGGCGGTAATATTTTTTGGGTGATTAGTGCATTTCCCCCCTGCTGACATAAACCATACAGTAATTCCAGCCATCGGTCAAAGCTGCAATTTGGACCGATTGTGCTAAATGAATAACAGCCGACTATTTTCTGGCTTCACAACCACTATTGTGTAACGTTCAAAGAGTTTAAATCCTATATTACCCCGTCCGGCTGGCGGGTCAATATTTTTTTGGGTGATTAGTTGCATTCACAGTGACTGAAACGTACAGTTCTCCATCCAACGTGCATGCTGCAATTTGATCCGAGTTGTTGCTAAATAATCTGTCTTTCTGCTTCACAAACACTATTGTAATCGTTCAAACAAAAGAGGTAGATCCAATTTACACGCCGGGTCGGCACGGGGTAATATTATTTTTTGGAGTGATTAGTGAATTCCAGGCAGTGACATAAACGTACAGTATTCCAGACCAAACGTCAACTGCGTGCAAATTGACCGAGTTGTGCTGATATATAAACTGACTTTCTGCTTTCCTCATCAAATACCATCTAAATTTGTAACGTTTCAAAGGAGTTAGGATCCATTTAACACACGCCGGGTGGCGGTAATATTTTATGGGTGATTAGGGCCATTCCAGTGACATAAACGTACCAGTTTCCATAGCCAACGGCAATGCTGCAAATTGGACCTATTGTGCATAAATAATCTGACTTTCTGGCTTCATCAACCACTATATGTACGTGCAAAGAGTTAAAGTCCATATAACACCACACGTGTGTGGCGTGTTAATATTTTTATGGGTGATTAAGGTGCATTCCTGTGTCATTAAACGTACAGTTTCCAGCCAACGGCAAGCTGCATTGACCGTTTGTGGCTAAATAAACTGACTTTCATGCATCAAAAACCACTATTGTACGTTAAAAAGAGTTAGGATCCATTTACAAACGCTGGGTGGACCAAGTAATATTTTTTGGAGGGTGATTAGTTGCATTCCAGTGACATAAACGTACATTTCCAGCCTACGTCAAGCTGCTATTGACACAGTTTGTGATAAATAAACCTGACCTTTCCGCTTCACAAACCACTAATGTAACGTCAAAGTTAAAAAAAAAACAAATAAAGTAAAAAACAAACAAAAAAAAGAAAAAAATAAAGACACAAGCTGTAAAAAAAAGCAAGAAAATCATATATCACCATTTACCAACTCGCGGATGGCATGGTAATATTTTTTGGGTGATTAGTGAATTCCAGTGACATAAACGTACAAGTTTTGCCAGCCAAACGGCAAGCAGCAATATGATAGCGCGACTGTTTGCTTATTAAACTCGTCTTTTAGTGCTGTCACAGCCATTTTTTTTTTTTTAGTATTTTAATGTTTCTATTGTACGTTCACACAGAGTTTAAATCCATTTACACGCCGGGCTGGCACGGTTAATATTTTTTGGGTGATTAGTGGCATTCCAGTGTGACAGAAACGTACAGTTTCCAGGCCATAAGGCATGCTGCAATCGACCGAGTTGTGCTAAAATAAACCTGGAATTTTCTGACTTAACAACCACGATTGTACGTTCAAAGAGTAAAACTCCATTCTCACGCAGGCTGGCCGGGGTAATATTTTTTTGGTTGATTTAAGTTGCATTCCAGTGACAGAAACGAAACGTACAGTTATTCCAGCCATCGGGCAAAGCTGCAAATTGATACCGATTGTGTCTAATAAACCTACTGACTTTCTCTTCCCTGCTTCACCAACCACTATTGTACGTTCAAGGATGTTAAATCCCCTGTTTTAATTTTTTGGGGTGATGTATTGAATTAAAGAGTATGTCAGACAACACGCAGAGGAGTTGGCAGAGGAGGCAATGTTTCAGGAGCGAGCAGACGTGGGCTGCAGAGGAAGGGCGTGCGGATGGCAGCACTTAGTCGCAGCCAGAGGCCTGTGCACCACGGTCGTAATCCAGCGGTCGTGTCTCCAACCGAAACAAACCCTGCCGTCATCGATTGGTTGACTCGGTCGCGTGCTTTCCTCTTCCCAGGTCACCTCTGGACTTCCTACAGCCAACTGGGTTCGGATGGGTCACGTCAAGACCACAAACCGTTAGTATGGCATGGCCCGGGAGCAACGCACACTTGAAAATCACGTGTCCCACGACCTGCCACTGTCCTTTGGTGTTCCCTCACCAAGCGAAGTTATCGCATTAGCTGTGTGGCTCAGCACCAATGTAAAGATGAGCGGAAGACGCTAACAGAGGGCGACGGTCTGGAACGGGGAGGAGACATCAGCCTCTTCAGCAGCCATGCGGAAGACACAGTACTGGCGACAGGAGAGTAGGCTCGGGTAGCCGGTCTATGAGACAGGGTGTGATCCTCCTGTCCCCATCACGCAGCTGAGGGGGGCTAGTAGTGACGCGGAGACCCTAATTTGATGATGATGAGGCCTGTTCGTGCAATTGGCCAGCCTCGTCTTCGATCTATCATGCTATTGGGCTTCCGCATAGACATAGGCGAGGTGGGAGAAGAGGGTGGCCAGCTTGCCAGCGAGCAAGAACTGTCAGTGGGGTTGCCCAAGTATGCAAGCAGTGTCGCAGCAGTGTCAGTTGGAGCCAATCGGCCACCGAGTTAGAGCACCAGCTCCTCTGCAGCCTACCACCATGGGCCAGT